CAAAACCTTTTATATTCTGTTTGGCAATAAATCCTCTAATCAAATAAATCTCAAAATAAACAATACCCAAATTTGTAACAAATTAGATGGCAAATTCCTTGGCATTCTCATTGACCACAAGCTTAATTTCCAGGGACACATTCTAAACATATCAAAAAAAGTTTCAAAAACTGTGGGCATTCTTTCTAAGATCAGATATTATGTACCTCGCCCTGCCCTGGTGACTCTCTATTACTCCCTTATCTATCCATATCTCAACTATGGTATTTGTGCTTGGGGCTCTACTACCCAAAATCATTTACGTCCTCTAATTACTCAACACAAAGCTGCTATTAGGACAATATCCAATTCTGGCCCCAGACATCACTCGGTACCCCTACTTAAATCTCTGAATATGTTAGACATTAAGTCACTGCACATTCTCTCATGTGTATTATACATATATAAAACGCTAAACTATAATGCCAATCCTGATTTCAAAAGCTTCATAGAAGGTTGTATCAGAACCCATGAGCATCACACCAGAAATAAATACAGTTTTGATATTCCTAGAGTACGACTTAATCAAACTAGAAATGCTCTACAAATCAAGGGGCCCAGAATGTGGAATGACCTTCCCAACCATGTTAAAGACTGTACCTCTCTCAACCAGTTTAAGTTAAAAGCGAAGCTATACCTAATAAATTCCCTGTAACCTACCTTACCCTTCTTTTGTCAACCAATGTCTGTTTTTTTCTTTAAAGAGCGCTGTTTGTCGACATAATTGTATTTGTGCTGCTTTTTCATCTATGTTTTCATTTCTTGTTTTCATTCTACTCATTATGTTCAATTAGTATTAAGCTTGTCATTTAAGTTTATCATGCCCGAAACGCTTTGCGTAATAGAGGCTTTAGGCATTGTATGTACTAGCTATACCTATAAGTTAAACAATCCTTGTAAATATTTATTGTATGTATGTACCTTACCTAAATAAAATTGTATTGTATTGTATTGTAATTGAAATCACCCAGCTGTGCTCCGGCAAGGAGTCCAGTAGGTGTTTCAGATCTGGAAGAGAAAGCGGGACACTCGGGGAGAGATAAATGGAACAAACGGTGTACCATTTTCCCACAAAGATACGAGCAGCAGAACAATGGAGAGGCGAAGGAAAATGTAAGGGGACAAAGGGACCATCCGAGCGAATCAAGAAAGCAGAAGAGTTAGGAGCCCCAGCAACAGCTGGAGGGAGAGGGGAAGAGAAAGGAATAGCCACGAAAGCTACCAGAACGAGCACCAAGCATCGGGTCTTGGAGACAGACACAAAGGGGCGAAAACCGTGAAATCAGAAGTTGGAGTTCAAGGAAATTGGCATAATAACCCCGAACGTTCCATTGAAGAATAGACATCGACGAGAAGAGAAAGGACAACAACAGAGAACAAGGAAGAAACAAAGGCGAAAGAGAAACATAGCACGTTAAAGAAGATCAGGGTCAGCAAAGTCAGGGTTAGGGGGCATGGGTAAACTGAGCAAAGACGGAGGGAAGGAAGCGGGAGAACAGACCAGAGGTGGGCGGGCGGGGTCCGGAGGAGGAGGAAGAGGAGGAGACAACGGAGAGGAGCAGTCAAGGACAGCAGCAGGAAGAGGAGTAGAAAGAGGGGAGCGCACCACAGCAAGGGCAGCAACCGAGAGGGAAGCGGGGGCCAAAGAAACCTCCATGGTAGGAACAGGGGGCGCAACCGCCGAAATGGGAGGGGAAGGAGCGAGAGAGTCAGAAGTAGGGGCCGAGGAAGAAAGCGAAGCCTTCTTACCCGCCAGGGAGGAGGAAGGAAAGGAGCCAGGCTTACGCTTCTGACTTAAAGAGACCGGTGTCCCAGCAACTACGTACTGGGCAACAGATTCCAGCGTCTCAACAGGAGAAGCTGAACGAGAGCACACACGACGGCTGTTGGGAGAGCGATGGACATCAGCCCGCACCGACAGGCGGCGGGGAGAGTCAATAGACGGATGGGAAGGAGGATCGGAGGGAGACAAGGAAAAAGACACTGGAGACATGACAGACCGGGCAGAAAGAAGGGGAACCCCAGACAGAGGACCAGGAGGGGGACCCTTGGGACGGAACTCAAAGGAACAGAGGAGGGGGCAGTGGGCGTATCAGGGTCCAAGGCTCTGAAACTGTTGAGAGTCTGAGGAAGGTGGAAAGGATGAGGAGAGGAAGAGCGCAACACGCGAGCATAAGAGACGATAGCATAAGGCGGGAGCCGGCGAACCTGGCGCCTCGCCTCAGGAAAAAACAAACACTCCCGATGCTTCTAGTTGAGGACGGCTGCCTCAAACTTGTAATGTATACACGCACGGGAGAAGGTAGGGTGGGCCTCACCGCAATTGAGGCAGCGAGCCTGAGAAGAAGTGCACTCCGACTTAGAGTGACCTTCGACCCCACACAAAGGACAGAAAGAGACAGTTCCAGAGCAACGGGGGACACCATGCCCAAACCTCCAGCACTTATTACAAAGCCAAGGAGAGGGTAATGTACTCCTGGACAGAGCACCTGGCACCAGCAAGAATGACAGGATGGAAGGGTCCGACCATCAAAAGTAATCTTCACAACCCGATGGGGCTGACGGCGACAACCACGAGGGGGACGAGTAAACGTGTCTACCTGGAGGACAGAATGGCCCTGGGCCTCAAGGATATGCCGAATATCATCATGGCAGTCCTGCAGATTCTGAACACCGGTTGCAACATGGGGCGGGAGGAGAATAGTGCTAACACTGGCATTCAACCGAGCGTTCTTGGAGACCCGAACAGGGGTCTCGCCAAGGCAGGATAAAGCAGCCAAGCGGGAGGCCGCATCCTGAGAAGGAGCAGCAATGACACGTGTACAGAGACGGGTGGGGTTGAAGGTGACAGAGGTATCTACGGAAACAACAAGGTGCCTATGAAGGGAGAAATCGTCAGGAGGCGCAGAATCAAGAGGGAGGAGATCAAAGTATTTGACCCACGAAGCGGGACCAAACAAGGCTTGATATGCATCAGAACGGGAAGGAATCGAGCGAGTGCGTCCATGTCGAGGACGGCGTTGAGAACCCCCAGAGAGAGAGAGAGGGGTTAAAAGGCGCAGTAGTCACAACTAGAGACTGAGCCGTGTCAGGGGACGAGGTAGTCACCACTGGGGGCTTGGGGCTCGACCCAACCACAGAGGAGGGAGGGGAGCCGAGGGGAGTAGTCAGAAAGGCCAAAGGAGGAGCAAGGTCGGGGCCCAATGCAGGATCAAAATAACAGTCGAAAAGTGAGAACCCAGTTCGGTTGCGACCGACACTGGATCCACCACAACAGAACCACGGAGGTTTGGCCGTTCATGTTTAACAAATTTGTTATCTTTTTATTCTAGCATTGTTGAGGCAGTTGATAGTGGTAAGGTTTGCGATGTTGTGTACCTTGACTTTAGCAAAGCTTTTGATACAGTGCCACATGAAAGACTGATTAAAAAGATAGAGTCTCATGGTATTGGGGGTGCTATATTAAGCTGGATTAGGGCATGGCTATACCAAAGAAAACAGAGAGTTAGTATAAATGGAGTCAAGTCAGAGTGGGAAAATGTTGTAAGTGGGGTGCCTCAGGGCTCTGTCCTGGGACCTCTGTTGTTTATAATATATATAAATGATTTAGATTCAGGTTTGAGTAGCAACATTTGCAAATTTGCCGATGATACGAAAATCGGTAGGGGAATTAATTCGGAGGAGGACTCACTATCACTTCAAGTTGATCTAGATAGAGTTTTGAAATGGTCGAAGGATTGGCAGATGCAGTTTAATGCTGATAAATGTAAAGTTCTGAGGTTAGGTAATGATGATAGGGTTACAAGATACGAGCTAGATGGTGTTGAGATTGCGAAGTCGAATTGCGAAAGGGATCTGAGAGTTATGATTAGCAAGAATTTAAAACAAAAGGATCAATGCATAAATGTTCGTAATAAGGCAAATCGGACACTTGGATTTATTAATCGCAGCGTTAATAACAAGACACCTGGTGTGGTTCTCAAGCTATATCTTGCTCTAGTTAGGACCCATTTAGATTATGCAGTTCAGTTTTGGTCGCCATATTATAGAATGGATATAAATTCACTTGAACGTGTCCAGCGTAGGATGACTAAGTTAATTCCCCAAATTAGAAATCTTTCATATGAAGTTTAACAAAGCTTAATTAACAAAGCTTAAGTTGCATTCACTGGAAAGGCGAAGAGTTAGGGGTGACATGATAGAGGTTTACAAGTGGGTGAATGGTCATAACAAAGGGGATATTAATAGGGTATTAAAAGTATCAACACAAGACAGAACACGAAACAATGGGTATAAATTGGATAAGTTTAGATTTAGGAAAGACTTGGGTAAATACTGGTTCAGTAACAGGGTTGTTGATTTGTGGAACCAATTGCCGCGTAACATTGTGGAGGTGGGGTCCCTCGATTGTTTCAAGCATGGGTTGGACATGTATATGAGTGGGATTGGGTGGTTATAAATAGGAGCTGCCTCGTATGGGCCAACAGGCCTTCTGCAGTTGCCTTTGTTCTTATGTTCTTATGTTCTTATGTGAAGGATTGGCGAGACATCTGGAACAAACCCTGATGTGGTAAGGGCAGCTCAAGGCACCAGCTACAAGGGAAGACATCTTTACAGCAAATGACCCAGGGAACCACCATACTTATACTCGGCTTTCAATTTGCATTAGACTTGTACTCGGCTGTCAATTTGTTTGTAATCTCTTGGATTGTAAAAACGTTGTAGATAATTTATCTTTTGGTGTGTGGTTTGGTCATCATCCTTTTTGTTACACCCTCAGTTGCCATTGTATTTCCACTCTAAATTATTAGCCCTTCTGATATTTCCATTATAAACACCAACCAGTAATTGACGCTCTTCTATTTTTTCCAACACAATATTAGGTCACCATTTTCCACTGTGTTAAATATGTTCCACTAATTACATAAGAATTTAGATATATTGTAGGTTTAAAAATAATATCATTGTAATTCTTTATTGTAAGTAATTACATCAAATGCCCCCACATATGCTGCAATTTACAAAACACTTGAAATGACTACAAAATAAAGGTGTGGTCCACATGAACAGCAAAATATGTATCCACTATATTTAAACAGGCAGGTAATAGATTCTGGTTCAAAGTCAGGCACTGAGATTAGTTAATCACTCAGTGCTGCCATATTTTGAATCCAGTGTGTAAATTCTAGTTATGATTGAATAACATGGTATGAATTTTCAATATGATAGTATTGTTTATATATTTAAGCCTGCAAATATAGCTATATCGTACAATATATCTGTAAATGACATATTGCAGTCAATGCATCTATATAATTTTTGGGTATTAATTGTAGCTAAACAGTGTCATAATAAGTACCTTTCCCTACATCACAGAAAATTTTGTGCACAGACATGACTAGATTTAACTATCACAAACAAATAATTGGCATGCATCATGTCCAGTGCAATTCACACAAAGTTCCTTTAATTGTACAGTACCTACAGAACATCTAAAAGATTACTTAATTTCTTTAATTCTCACAATGTCATCCTGCAAATGAAAAATAAAAGTTTTGGGCTAAACAAAATTTTGAAATGTGTTTTGGATTCTGTCACATATAAAACAAATTTGAGTAAATACAGTACTGTATATTTGTGCTGATATGTGCTTCAGTCCTTAATGCAACTGGGGCTTGTAGGCATATTGGCTCGGGACACAATGAATGACAAAAGAAAAAAAATTATGTGTATAAATTACACTGTTCTATACTTTCCTAATGTTATAATTATTAGTCTTAGATTTAACAATTTTTGGCATAAGTGGCAAATTAAACATATCATGGTGCCATCTCAGCCTATTCTTGACAATACAGCACGGTATTTAAAAACGTTTATAACATTTTAAAATTTGTCCCTATATTTAGATAAAATTCTTAAATCCAAAGCATTTACAAAGTTTAATGTAGTCACTATTTGTTTAAATGGAATATAATTTCAATATTTTGTTATTCAAATAGTCAATATATACTGTATTAAAATTCAATACTGTAGTGTGACACAATGGGTGACATGCACTCATGTCAAAGTTATGAGATACCCAAAGGTTAACTCATGTCATGAAGTTAACTTGACCTCACTCAAGTTAAGGCCAACACTGTTAGGGTGAGTGCTTGGACAGCCTTACCATTGGGTAGGGGGCCTTGATAAGCTGAAGGCTACCAATCTAACAATGGTAAATAGAGAGAGAAAAAAAGTGCCGAGACTTCCTGAGCATTTTGTCCCACCAAACCAAAATATAAACATCAATTAATTAACAGCTGACTTCAATGACAACTTGGCAATGTAGCACTCATTTTGCCAATAAGGCATTTATTTATTTAATTTATTTATTCACCTCAACTGCTGGAGAAGAAAAGTACAATACAGTCATATTAAGAATGTCATATGACAATATGTTCATATGCAACAAATGCAGCATCAATAACATACCCATGTCTCTTAAAATATAAATTCAATTCATACAATTTGGTATTATCAACATATTCTCTCGTTCTTCACAGGAAAGAGGAGCTTTGTGACATATCAAACATTAGATTCACTGCAAAATGACAGCAAACTTCTCTTAATATTTGTTCACTGATCCTAATCTGTATTCACATGTGTAACATTTGCCACTACTTCAGTCAAAGATAGTTTGTTCCTTTATAAACCATGCAGTTTACAGATTTATTCTATAACAAATAAGATTATACTGCACTGGAAACAAATTTAAATGAATCACAGTAATAAATACAGGTATAAGAATATCCTGTATACTTAGATCCAAGATCTTGCTAGTCTAGATGAATGCATTAAATTTGTGATGAGAATACTGTACTCTAGCCAACAGTTTATGCAAATGAATATTTAATTGGACTTACAACACAATGTAAATTTCTTTTTTAGAAAACTGACATATTATTTTTAAAACATTTAATCGAGCTAACAAATTTAAATTCTAATTTTGTATGTGCTGATCTTGCTACAACAGCTTGACATTTTCTTTATTAATATACAGTAGTCATCTATGAGGCAAAAGTACTACTAAAAATAAGCTTAAATGTTAGGAAAATTAAATTCCATGACAGCATGTGTAACATTTGTAATCAAGTTTCACATTCTCGATACTGTTCTTAAATTTTCCTGCAATGCTAATGACTATGAACCCCAGTGATTATGTGGGGGTTATCATCATACTGGCATCGAAGAAAAACTACTGTATATTCTTCATTTTATGTAACTTGGCACTTCACTTCAAAAGTTTTAAAAAAGCTAACATCAGAGCTTTGGTAATGATATTCTGTATAAATATGCAAAATGTAACTTGTTTTACTGAATACAGGTTTATGGATTTTCATTGTATTTTAATTGTTCAAGTACCAAAGATATGGTCTATATCATTAAAGCCTATGTCTAATAGAACAGTACTCATTTTCCGTTAAAAGTTTGCAAAAACACATTCAAAACATTTTGAAAGCCTACTACTACCTGTCAAACTAACAATGAATGAAATCAATGCTTACACTTTTACAGCATAGCAAAATTAAAATTCTGGCAAACCTTTTTAAATAGCAGTGAATTTTATCTATCGCATAAAAATAATGATGATAATGATGAGATGACAGACATCATCTGCGACATGAGATGTCTCGCCATAGGTTGAGTAACGTACTCAACCTATGTCTTCAAGGGATAACCTGGTTAATATTTGCACTTGTGATGTTTACATCCAGAAAAGTTATCCTTCTGAAAGTGACTTCTTGTATAAATAAGATTGTAAAACTGGAAATTTATAAACTTGGGCTGTTAAAAGTATTCAAAAATAGTACAAAATTTAATTTCTATCATTTTAGTCATTAGATATTTTTTTGTGTGAGGTTTGGAATTTATTCCAAATTCTTTTGTCCTACCACAGGGTTAGAAACTGGTGCCCTTGGTTGCATGTGAAATGGCATAGACAACTACACTACAAAACCCAAAATTCCTCAGCTTTTAACATGTTACATACCAAGACTGCTTTTGTAACAAGGACATAGTCTTGTCATATAGTTTATTAATTCAGAAGCTCACAGTGTTTGGGCAATTCTTGGAAGAAATTTACTCAAATACAAAATAATGATACTGTAATATTTAAAAGTAGAAATTTTGGTGAAAAAGACAGAAAGCATATTTAAGACGTTAAGACGGGCAATCAACAAATCATTTTAAATTGAACTTTACAAATAATAATATTTAACTGCAGTATGGTGTAACCTCTAAAATTGAGATCTCTCTCAAAATGTATACATGACAAAAAATAGTCTTCATATCAGAATACATTTAAAATTCAGATTTTAATTTTGATTAGTGCAAATACTGCCCAGATTGAATATACATTTGTCAGTAATTTCTTGCAGATGATATTTATTAATTTTTGTGCAATTCTTGTGTTAAGTAGAAAAAAATAATATAATCTTTCACCTGTGCTGGCAATGTTTACTCAAGAATTTGTATGCATTTTTCAAAATTTAAAAAAGTTTAGTCATAGTATTTTCTATGCCCAAGCTGGGTATTTGGTTATATATCACATGTTTAACAATTTGCCCCACCACCCACCCACACAACATTCTCTCCCTCTGTCTCTCCAACACTCATACTACCACACAATTCAAAGTACAGTATTATAATGTGCTCAATAATTGTATTAATAAATTTAAGTACAGTACTCATTCTTTTTATTTTGATTGAAAGTTTTAGATTATGTCCTGCAATTAGGTAATTATATTTCAATAAATGAGAACTCTTACTTTTCAAATACCAGTACAGTACAATAAAGATTTGAGTAACATTCACATTTGTTACAACAACACTGGATTGATTCTCCATAGTCTAGAAGATAACTCGTATGATTGCATTAAACAACACTAAGTGAAGTTCCTTTCAAAGGGTTTAACTCGAGTGACGTAGTGAGCACTTGTTTCCTCCCAACACGCTGGGAGGGAAATATATTGGAAACATGTAAATACTGAAGTTTTCTATTGGTAAACTACTTTTTTATAAGTATTATTCCCTTGGAATGTTTAAGGACTGAAACCTAACATGATAAATTCTGATACAATACTGTTTTTACTGGCACCTTACACACACAACAATGAAGCAGACTATCAATATCAATTCAATATGCAGTACCAAAAAATAAATATTGATATTATTAATTGTGCATAGCCTAGTCATGGCCTTAATTAAATACATGACTGCACATTACTGATAATAGAATCTGAGCTCATGAAAATCGCTTCAATTTTTAAGTAATAAAATAATAAATAATTGCTATATATAGAATATACCGTACTACTAAAATATGTACGTACCAGTATGCATGCATGTATGTATGTGTGCACATGCATGCATGTATATTACATAAATATATTTTATTTTTCACTCGTACAATGATGTGTATTCATGGGAAAACCTGTCTTCAAGCCAAATACCTGTAGTGTAATTAAACCATCAAAACAATGCTAACTATCATACATGTGTTTGTATGAACCAAGAATCAAAATGTCAAACTGTTTTGTTTAGATTTGTTAGAACCTTCATAAATGTACGTCTTAGTATGGAGGGACAGAGGAACGAGGACGGGCTACGTGAGCAATTAACCGCTACATGAAAATGGATGTCATATTTGTTTAGTCTGCAATATTTTGATTTTGTTAGGTGTTGTAATGACTAGTCAAATTTAACATTAAAATACAGTATATAAAAATAAGATATGGCAGTAACTATTAGTCATCAAAGGCACCAAAAAGAGAAGACTGAAGAAAAAATGACTACTTAATAGCTAAAATTCAAAGTACATATAGCATTACCAAACATCTAGTGCGTATGTATTCATTTACATTAGGAATGTTCCTAGGCTATTTGAGCTTAATATATCTCAAACCACTTTAGTGATAAAATATACACTTTAAAATAACATTTCACAAAATTTTAACGAATTTATAAATATTTATTATTGTTTTATAATGCTTGTAGTTGTGTATGAATATTAAATAAAACAAAAACACAATGGAGTCTAGCATCTAAAACAAAAACCAAGATAGAAAAACATGCAAAATCTAAGGTTTTAAAAGAACTGTATTGTACTGCATTAAATGAAAAAAATTAAACAAAAATGTACCATCAATACAAATAATTTTAGTACAAGTACTTTATTTTTCTTGTAATGTCAGAAAAATTTAGGATTTAAAAGAAAATGGCTCATATCACTCAAAATCCCATGCATACTTCTGTGTAATCTCAATAGAATGGACTACTATACATAATCCAAGTCATACAATGTTTAAAACACGATAAAAGTTACTGAACTTCAATTGTGTATCCAGGTGAACCTTGTTTAACATTGCCCTAGTTAATGCCATTTTGTTTTTACATTAGAAAAAATAAATATATAAATTTAACATCAGGTAGGCAAAACGAGTTCTCCTTAAGTATGTCAACATAAGAGTGAGAAAATGGTGTGTAAACCTATAATACTTGTAGAAAACAAAGTACAGTACAGTATATGAATGCTAACTTAAATAGTCTGCAAACAGCATTTATACTGTAATAATAGTATAAATAATAGAACAAAACACAGTATTTTTCATGGTTTTTGTCAAGATTTGCCACATTTGATGTGAAATTGTTTAGTTAGCTCACACAGTTGGTTTTGAAGAAGTTGATGAAGATGACATACAGGAAATACTTGATTCACACACACACACAGTCAATGAGGAACTGATTCTGCTTGGCAAAATGTGAGCAGAAGTGAAGAAGACACTCAGTCTGAGACAACACAAGTTAAAAAAAGAATATTTTTAATCAAAAGTTTTCCATGCACTTGACAAACTCTCAGCTGCCATAACTGAAAATGATCCTGACAGAACGTAGCTGTACCGTATGCAAGAATTGACAATTTAGTATTGACTGTTACAAGGAAATTCATAAACAGAAGAAAAAACCTGCCATTCAGCAGACATTAGATGTTTTAGTCAAGAAAAAAGATCAGCAGAAGAAAGAAGACAATAAAGGACAGAAGAAGAATACAACCTGCCATGATGAGGATCAAGAAGATGAAAAGGGCAAAAAAAATGAACATAAAGAAGAGAACAATAATAATGATGATCATGAACAGAAAGATGTGCAGATTACATTTGAACCAGATGAACCAAAGCACATGCTTCAATCAGACAAATAATCCCACAACGGCCACACCACTCACCCTACATATTAGTAGTAATAAACAATTTATTGTGTTGGAGGACAGGCAGCCAGTGTATATACACATGCTAAGCTTATGTCGTAGTTTCCCCCTTAATGGTCAAATTACTGATCCTCCCCAGGACACAACCCCACAACTAGCTAACTCCTGGGTGCCAATTTATTGCTAGGTGAACAAGGGCATTAGGCGATAGAAAGTGCACCCAACCATTCCTGTCCCACCCAGGAGTCATTTAAGTCAAGTCCTAAATATGGTATTGTAACATTTTATAAATGAAGTTTACAATTAAATCATGTTTTTGTTTAATTTTACTACCTTTTTGAACAATACCAAAATGCTATGGTGAGAAAATGACCAATCATCATCTTTCTTAATACCCTAGGAATATAACCCTTGTTTATATCACTTCGGTTTCACTTAATGTGATTTCAGTTAAAGCCACAGTTTTCAAGAACCTAATCCTGACATTAAATACATACATGTGAACCTCATTTAATTTTGTTTTACTCCAAATTATATCAATTGTATATGCACACATTAATAATATTCAAAGTGGAGAAGTTACTAAAATTCTCTATATTTGTCTTTTATCTTTGTCTCACTTATATAAAAATGATGAAAACTATTTTTCAATAGTCAACACACTGATCCCCCAACACACTATCGGAATACAATTCAATTTTGAAATGAGTGCCGACTTGCACAGACACTTGGTCAAAAGTTCTCTCTTTGTTCACAGAATTGTAGATTGTTGGAACAATTTATGAGAGGTGGTCATGAATGCCAAAACCATCAGCAGTTTCAATGCATCATATAACAAAGATTATAAGGAACCCAGGGTATGGAAAGGGGTTGAAGACCTTAAGGAGAAAGATCTAGGGGTGGTTTTTGTAAGCTGCCATCAAGAACACTGTAAGAGGAGCTTAAGCAAGACCTTGCCAATTTCAGAATCAGTTAAATTCTTGTACAGTACGGAAAAGTGCTAACAAAATTCATGACATTCCACAGACCCTAATGATAAAATGCAGCATTTGTGTGGTGAAGAAGAGGAGGAGGAGGAAGAAGAAGAAAAGGCAAAACGCTTACCACTTGTTGAATTTGTAATAACCACTCTAAGTCAACATGTCAGGATATCAACAAAACATAATGGATAATAATGAACCAGCAAGACTTGACCCGATATTCACTCTGAACTAGTCAGACGCAAGGGAAGCCAATTTGGAAGCTCCTCTGGGAATTAGTATAAGTATATGGTGGAAGTAGGAATGAACTGTTCTGGGAAGAGATCAGGAGGTAAAGACTGGCATGCTGAGGGTGAAAATATGAATAGACGAGATAATTTATATTAGGAATAACATAGGAAACAAAAAACTCAAGTGAGAAGACTGTTCAAGACAGGATGGACTACCTTACATACAAAGTATCAAGAAGCAGTCAAGTTTTTGCCTTATATTTATGTTGTTTTGATGTAGTTCCAAGGATCGACATCCATGTGGCTCAGTCTCTGACCAGGGGCCAGATTCACGGAGCAGTTGAGCAAGTACTTACGAACGTGTACATCTTTCCTCAATCTTTGACAGCTTTGGTTACATTTATTGAACAGTTTACAAGCATTGAACCTTCCCAATCAACTGTTGTTATTTTTATAAACAGGCACCTGGTGTTTCAGAGCTCAATAACTGTTTAATAATTATAAACAAAGCCACCAGATTTAAAATAGATGCATAGGTTTATAAGTGCTTGCATAACTGCTTCGTGAATCCGGCCCCAGGCCTCTGTTATTGTTTGCCAGGAGAGTGCCCTTCCTTATCATCATCATGTAATTGTACTTCTGGGGGTTCCCTCTCTTCTCTGTTTACAGACAGGTTTAGTGGGGTTGTGCACTGCATGACAGCTACTGGAAACCAACTCGTTATCCTTTGCTACAGATGACATGCGTTTGTATGGTCAGGTGTCGAGCATTTTTTTCTTGAATAAAGTGTTCGAGTGTTGAATTCTTCAAGTTCAAAGCCGTTCGACTACTGAGGTATCACTATATATGTAAATGATCTCCCAGAGGGAATAGACTCCATCCTCTTATGTTTGTTGACACAAATATTATGAGGAGGATTAAAATGATGGAAGATTTCAAGATATTACAAGATGAACTGGACAAACTGAAAGATGGTAGAAGTGTCTAGTTGTCTATTAATTTAACTCAAGCAAATGCAAAATAATGAAGTATGCAGGAAACATGAAGCTGAACACAATACAATATGGTAGGTTGGCAAACATAACACTAAGTTACTGGAATATAGAGGAGTCAGGGAAGACATAATTACTACATAAAAATACTCTGGGAAAGAGACAGGCAAACTATTTGAGATGGGTAGTAAATAAGGGGACACAGGTGAAAACGAAGTCCTTAAATGGGCCCAACACTCACAAAATAAAAACAACTCATAATAGTAAAGTAAACAAATCTGATGTTCTAAGAAGTGAAATGGTGGTGGTATACTTCATATGCAGCTTCAAATGCCAGAGTCCATATGTTGATAGCCAGGACTCAGGGGCTGAAGTTGAGCCCTAGCAAACACAAAGAGGCGATTGAAGAAGGCTTCAAACATTTGATGGGGGAACACTTTTTTGAGACACCCACGAATGGTACAACTGGGAATGTTAAGACAAAGAACTCAGAAGAAATGGAAGATAAATTTGCCAACAAATACTGTACAACACTATTTGGACAAATTAAATTGTGAAAAAAATTGAAAAATCAAGTGACAAATAGATCTAGTATTTACAGCATACCCAAGTGTAGCTACAGGGAGAGAGCCATGCTCATGGTGTCCTATCTTCCCTATAATCTTTGTCCAATGATGCTTTAAAGCTTTTAATGGTTTGCACACATCACCCTCTCATCTTTATTATTCCCTCCACCTACCACTCCATTTGCGAGAGTGTACAGTTTGTATGCATGTTTTTTGGCACCTATATTTTCTCGGCTTGAATTTACAGCTCTTGTTTTCAATATGGCAAATACAAAAATTCATCCCTATCAATTTTGTACATGGTGATCTTCTCACTTCTTTTTCTTTGGCCCACTAGTGTGGACATTAGCGTACATGAGGGTAAGTTATATTGATGCAAAACTAAACAGGTCACAGCAGGACAAAACTGTGCATAAATGGTGTTGGCTCCTGTGTTCAGGGATGTCTGGCAAAGTAGTCAATTATCCTTAAATGTTGATGACAAATTTATTAGTAAATAAAAAGTTGCATGAAAATATTTGTAATGAAAACTACAAAAATAGGGAAAATATGAACTGCAATACAACGCATTATTTTTTTTGCTTACAAATGCATGGCAGTTATAGCATGTGGAGTTTGCATGTGATTTGGAGTGTTGAGGGGTGTTTTCTTTCAAATAAACTTGTAAAAGCTTTAGAATTTGGGGCATTTTTTTAATTTATAATTTTTTAATTTACATGCTTAACTGTAATATGTCTGGGATATCAAAATATTGTATGACAATAACAGTAAAACTTAAATCTGTAATTGCAAAGAGTAGAAATATTGTGCATCACAGAAGCATTGATTTTGACATCTTCCAGACAGTTGTTCCATACAAGTTGTTCCCTTTGTTATATAAGTGATGGAGATTATAACAAACAAATATATATTTGTGTGAATGTACAGTATGTATGTATATGCAGTACGTATGTATTGTAATAATGATTATCAGAGAACGAATATAACAAATGCAAAAATTAAAAATCTTCCCAATAAAGTCTCCATTGACACCCTTAAACTATCACCTTTCTTCTGGAAATTTCAAGTATCTGCCACAAAATTTAAATTAAAGTAATGCTTATTACTGCTGAATTCAGTTCTCCTATTACAACTTAACTTTGTATTATTGTCACTCATTGAACATCAGCCTGTGCGTTGCACATCAGGAAACTTTAGCATTTTGTGCAGCACCTGCGAAGCATCTTGCGTTCAGGAACTGATGCAGGTCACAAGACAAACTCTGATACAAACCTGTAACTTCTTCTCAAATATAGTATAAAAATAGTTTCATTCATAGCTTGTGTTAGTAAACCATCTTAAAGCTTGTGATTATCATGAATGTGTTTTAAATATTTTAAATGTCAACACTTATGTTAATACACCTAAATCTATTATATAATATATTAAAGATAAATATTTAGACAAAAAATATGTAATATAATATTCAAAATATTTAGCCACGATTTTAAACACTATCATTTCTGGGTTAATAAACCAATATATCTCAAGCCACTTTCAAAACAACCTTCAAATATTTTCATCATAATGGCCACATTTACAATTTATGATTTTTTTTTTAACTAAATCTATTTTGCAGTTTCCAAATACTGGGAGTTATGAATATTACATACTCAGGAAAGCTCACAGCTTGCAACATTGTAGTTGTCAACATAGCCAATGAAGCAAATAGATTATTAGCTAGGAATGACTGATCCTCAATTAAACAAATATTCATGACTGTAGCAATGTAGAACATCACTGATTGTAGACTAGTGCAGTAGCAAGTGAGATGACTGTGCGGTCCAACCATGTGACTGCTCGTGGAATGAGATATCCGCCATCATAATAACCAAGATGACCTCCATGTTCCGTTTCAATGTACAACGAATTCTTGTGGGTGTCTGGAAAAGGTACATTCAATGTATTTCATCTTCCTATCATAACACCTCATATTTTGCATTTAATAATAATGCATTACTAATTATTATTAAATGCTATCGATGTATTATAATACATTGAGATATATATATATATATATATATATATATATATATATATATATATATATATATATATATATATATATATATATATATATATATATATATATATATATATATATATTATATATATATATATATATATTTATATATATATATATAATATTTATATATATATATATATAATATTTATATATATATATACACACACACTGTACAAATGTAATTTTTAAAGAAATTAAGCAAATATGGTTTGGTTACCCATAGTTGGGGACAGGAAGCCTGTTAGGCTCATCAAGGCCCCCATAAGCTCCTGACCAACTACTAACCTACCCCTGGGATGCAATCCACAACAGTTGTATAAACTTCTGGATACAGTGCCTATTTACTGAAATGTGAACAGAGGAATCAGATTAAACAAACTGTTGGCTAAATCCTTCTGGCCTTTAGTGTGAATCAAACATGGGGGACCTTTTGACTTTTAGCCGACTGCACTGACTATCACTAAGAAACTGTGGCGCCAGTAATGATGAAGGATATACTGTAGGCTACTTTATGTTCGAATTTTTAGCTTTAGTGCTATTATAATGGTAGTGGAACCTCTAGTGACGAGCAGCTCCATCTACGAGCATTTTGAGTAACGAGTGAGCCACTCGCCGAAAATTTGTCTCGACTGACGAGCTTCCGCTCCATAAATGAGAAAACCGTATGGTGCTCCCTGGCGTTCCCACTGGTTCTCGCAAATTCTTAGACACCTCCGACGATGCAAATTAATGATTTTTTTTTTAAGATGCTAATGATGCTGGGATGTAAAAGGGTGACTGCTGTAATGTTTCAAAGCATTGATTTTTTTTTTGTTAGAAATTAAAAAAAAAAAATTAAAATTTTGAAAAAAAAGAACAAATGTCAAAAGGTTCGTTCAGTGTATGTCAGGTAGGCTGCTCCATTTTCTATAAAAAATGAAAAAAATGAAAAAAGAAAAAATGTCAAAGGTTCCTTCAGTGTATGTCAGGTAGGCTGCTTCATTATTTAAAAAATTGAATATCATATTGATGTTTTTTGGTGGTGGAATGGATTAATTTTATTTCCATTAATTTAAATGGGGAAATTCGTTTAGAAAGGCGAGCGTTTCACATGACGAGCTCGGTGCCGGAACGGATTAAATTCGTTAATCGAGGCTCCTCTGTACATTTACACTGACAAGTATTTAATACTGACAATAACAGCAAACAAATGGAATAACCAGGATGAAATAAGACATTCCACCTGGTGTAACAATGTTTACATAATGTTAATAAGTCATTTCCTTGTTTCTGCTTTAAACTGGTCAAGAAATGCCATGTAAATAACGAATCCTAAATTTTGGAATGACCTCCCTGTACTGGCATTACATTTTCAATTTTATCTAAATACTATGAAGGCAATAATTTTACCCACTTTTGTTAGGATAATAAACACAGTATATATATATCCATATATATATATATATATATATATATATATATAGTACTTACTGACAAAAGCTTGTGGAATGGCGAGCATATCTGGATGCACAAGAGGATCATCCTTGGCATTAATGAACACAATAGGAACATGGACATTGTGCATGTAATTTGCACAGCTGTCATTTCGATACAGTTCTTCTGCACTTCGAAAACCATGGATTCTCCTGTAAATACAATTTTTCATATTTTGAACAATTTTCACAGCAATTTTATCATAAATTTGAGTGTTTATACTTGATACTAAAGATAAATGGCATACTGTATATTTGATTCATAAATATTAAAATATATTAACTTGCATCATATACCACGATGAATTTTTGAACTTGCCATTTACCAACTAAAATTAATTTTAACCCAAACATTTAAAACCTTCAGTTTGGTGTCTTATTAATTTTTATATATATATATATGTCGTACCTAGTAGCCAGAACGCACTTCTCAGCCTAAAATGCAAGGCCCGATTTGCCTAATAAGACAAGTTTTCATGAATTAATATATTTTTTCTAATTTTTTTCTTATGAAATGATAAAGCTACCCATTTCATTATGTATGAGGTCAATTTTTTTTTATTGGAGTTAAAATTAACGTAGATATATGACCGAACCTAACCAACCCTACCTAACCTAACCTAACCTATCTTTATAGGTTAGGTTATGTCAGGTAGCCGAAAAAGTTAGGTTAGGTTAGGTAGGTTAGGTAGTCGAAAAACAATTAATTCATGAAAACTTGGGTTATTAGGCAAATCGGGTCTTGTATAGTAGGCTGAGAAGTGCGTTCTGGCTACTAGGTACGACATATATATATATATATATATATATATATATATATATATATATATATATATATATATATATATATATATATATATATATATATATATATACATACATACATACATACATACATACATACATACATACATACATACACACACACACACACACACACACACACACACACACACACACACACACACACACAGTATATTTTTTTATCAGTTCTAGGAAACAAAAATGCTGCTTGTGTCCCACATACACTTGAGTTAGCAAACCCAATCAAAATATGAAGTTTCCAATCATACCTACAGCTGCTTTATTTGTTATCAATTTACTTCCTGTTTAACATTATAGTACAGCATATAATAACAGTATTCATAACAACACGGACATTTCAAATAACTACAGTATTACGAAAGTATGAGAGTTAGCAGTATTGTTTGAATTAAAAGTTTAGTGTAATTTATAAAATGTGAAATAATGCCTATATAAATTGTTACTGAAATTTGGTTGTCATAGTGCCTATAAATAGTCTTGTAACATTACTAAAATATACAAAGTGTTTAGATTATTTTCTTCCACATGTCAAGAATAACTGTAGGCATATTTTCAACATACCATTCCCAGCAATAATTTCATCCTTCAAATTGTTTGTTACCACTTATTTCCTGCACATTGCTGCTTGGATAAGGACCAAGATGCTCTATCAAGACATTTTCTATTAGCATATAGAGTACAAATGTGAAAATTACAATCTTACTTATGTGCTCATCAAATGAGAATGAGGAACTGAAGGGTTCTGAAATGGTTGGGCACATTTCCCTTTCCCTGATGCCTCTGTTCACCTAACAGTAAAAGGTACCTGAGAGTTAGGTATATTCTGCTGTATATTCCGTCATGGGAAAGGTTGGTAGTTGACCAAGGGGAACCTTGATGAGACTAAGTATAAGTTTCCTGGCCCTGACAATGGAAAACCAACAAGAAACCATAAACATCTTGTTCTTTTACCAAACTAACAGGCTGAAAACTAGCATTATCAAAATTTAATGTAACATAATTGCTACTCTACCCCCTCTCTGAGATTACCCTTCAAAACCAAATTATGTCTCACTTATATTTAACTTAATTTCTAGCAGTAATCCAAATCCAAACAAAGTAAAAAAACACGACTTCTCTCTACCCACTATCCAGTAATTTTATATAAAATAAAAATATCATTTACTGACCTGGTGTAGACTTCATCCAGTTCTTGCAGTGTAGCAGCCGACATAACTCGCCGTTCATCAATGTTGTATTTGCGCTTCACTTCTTCTGTAAGCAATGCTTCTTTGTGTTTAATGATCACTGATCTCATGTTCTCTGTCATAGAGAAGAGATAAATGCGTGCCAAGTTGTGCCATTCCAATAAGTACTTGAGGCCTCTGTAGGAATGAATTCTGTATATATTACATGCAAAAATTATATTTATACTGTAATTAAAGCAGCACAACCACTAATGTTAAAGGACAACCACAATTACCTAATTAAAGACTGAATGCGAATGTACAATCTGAATGCTAGTTCAACTAAAGTGAACAATTGATATCAGACCTTCTAGTAGTACTGAACAGGTATTTAAAAAATCATCATACATGCACTAAACAATTTGTTTGAAAAATAAAAAAATAAAAAATCCGCTTAAATGTTTGAAAAGATCCTGCACTCACACATAACCTTACTATGTAAGTAATGTACAACTTCCTGAGCTAATAGACATCTTAAACATACGTGTGGCCACATATGAAATCTTTCCAAAACATTCCAGCAACTGATCAGCTTAATACGTTCATCATAAAATCCTGAAGGTTAATGCAATGAAACCCAAGACAGCTTTAGTCATGTGAAATTTTAACGTGTGCGAAGCATTCTCAACTTACGCAACAGCATCATAACCCTGGCAGATAGCAATGGCTCCAATGATGTTGCTTGGACGGACTCTTGTGGACTCTCCCAGATATTTTGTCACAATGTTTCCTCCCATGCTAAATCCCACTACCAAAAGTTTTGTATCTGGGTAAGACTCTGAAAACTTTGTCAGCATCAAGTGTAGCTCATCTGTTTGACCTGTGGATATTGTAATTATTATCAGCAAAGGGATTTGTATCCCAAGATAAGGGGGCAGAGGAAGCAATCATAATTTCATACAGTATGTACTTTGAATAGCAGAGACTCAAGAGAGCAACAAGATCTCAGAGGAGTCAAAACAAATATAGATAGCTGCAAATGGGTGTGTTTTCATCACATTTTATTGCAGAAAAATATACAAAGGAACTGGAATAAGAATGCAGAAACAACTTAAAGGGCATTACAGTATATGTACTGAATATATATATGTACTATATATTATATATATATATATATATATATATATATATATATATATATATATATATATATATATATATATATATATATATATATATATATATATATATATATATATATATATATATATATATATATATATATATATAATAATAATTTGTAAGTAACCATGCACAATCTATATGTAAGAGAGAATGTCTGTGTATGTGTCTATCCAAAGTGGGAGGCCATATGCTTGGGTATAACCTCACCCAACTTTGCAGAGTGAAGGTCTGGTGTATGGGACAGATGTAGGCCGGTCAGGGTTCCCAGAGCTCAAGAGAACATATAAAATCATTATTTATACATCATTTGTTTGTTTAAATATGCATAATCACGTATTGTATCACGTAAGAAAAATCGTGATAAATTTGGTTATAAATTCAGTCGCAAAAAAAATCGCCAATATTAATGAAAATCCAGATCAGACCCAGAATGATATAATCCAGATTTTGGAAGTGACATTGCATTAGGTTTGAGGTCTTAGACCTGGTACTGGAGCCAGCTTGTTTATTTAGTACCATGCTTTTCCTAGAATGCTATTCACCAATTGTTTTACTTTCAGGTCCCCAACTACTAGGGTTGCAACCAAGCTCGTTCTCACTTGCAAGGTGCTAATTGTGAGATATTGATGCAGCAAGGAAGTGCTAAAAGTAAGTAATTATCAAAAGAAGACACCAATCCGGAGAGACTATGTAAAAAAAAAAAAAAAAAAAAAAAAAAAGTGCGGAGAAAGTTTACTTTTTTTCTATGTACTGTAAACGATGTAAAGATAATCCGGTTGCTAGCACAAGAAATTCAGTACATGGAATTTTCAAAGCATTTCAGATGGAATATATCCTGCAAGATTACATTCGTCTAACTGCACAAATGGAGCAATCTGCAAGCCTAATGAACATATTTGATTGAAAACGTGAAATATGTTGGACAAGTTGAAGATTAAAGATAAAAATTGTAATACAATTATAAATCATGATTACAATCATTTTAATGCTTAAAATACCCACTTATAATTTTTTGCAGGGACACATGACATTATGAAGAGCTCTGCAGGAAATCAAAATAAGCTCAAGCACCACTAACCATATCGAAAATTCTTGGACTTGTTATTTTGAGGTGTGGCAAGACTCCCAGATGATTGAGTACAACACATCGGTAACCTTGGGAACATGCCAGAGATACCAGAGAGCGAACATAAGTACTCTCACTGCTATAAAAAGAGAAAGGGTCCTGAAAGATATTGTTAATAGAAACGTTATCCCTACAGACAAAATCAGAGGATACAACTGACGATTTACTATAAAACCAGAAAAAACGGCCAGCCTACTCATGAGAAACTCTCCAGACACGAAACAGAACGCTTTAAAAGAGACTAACGTCGTCTATGCCTTCAAATGCCCACTTGGACTGTAAGCTCCAAAAAACCCAGTATATAGGCAAGACAAAAATCTCTTTCTAGGCGTTTAACGATGCATAAACAACACAGGCTCCATTAAGGAACATATAATCTCTTCTCCCATAACCAAACCATCGCCAGAGAAATCCTAGTAAACAACACAGAAATCATCGATAGATACAGCGATAGCAGGCGGCTCGACGTTGCGAGGCACTACACATCAAGAAGTCAACACCAGCAATCAACAGCCAATTATTGCACAACTATATTCTACCCACCTCAAGACTCCGCTCCAATATAGAAGAAGCATCAAGAAATATGGACCAATAGGCTTTCTACAAACACTTCTATTCATATCCATTGTTTCGTGTTCTGTCTTGTGTTGATACTTTAATACCCTATTAATATCCTCTAATGCCACATCATCTTCCCACCTTACTCAAATGTAATGCCACATCACCCTTCCCACCTCACTCAAATGTAGATATAAAAATCAGGGAAACGCAAGTTCTAATCAGTTGTGTATTTGTGAAGTCTTTGAAAATGTAATAAGTTTACGATATATATATAATATATATATATATATATATATATTATATATATATATATATATATATATATATATATATATATATATATATATATAATAATAATTTGTAAGTAACCATGCACAATCTATATGTAAGAGAGAATGTCTGTGTATGTGTCTATCCAAAGTGGGAGGCCATATGCTTGGGTATAACCTCACCCAACTTTGCAGAGTGAAGGTCTGGTGTATGGGACAGATGTAGGCCGGTCAGGGTTCCCAGAGCTCAAGAGAACATATAAAATCATTATTTATACATCATTTGTTTGTTTAAATATGCATAATCACGTATTGTATCACGTAAGAAAAATCGTGATAAATTTGGTTATAAATTCAGTCGCAAAAAAAATCGCCAATATTAATGAAAATCCAGATCAGACCCAGAATGATATAATCCAGATTTTGGAAGTGACATTGCATTAGGTTTGAGGTCTTAGACCTGGTACTGGAGCCAGCTTGTTTATTTAGTACCATGCTTTTCCTAGAATGCTATTCACCAATTGTTTTACTTTCAGGTCCCCAACTACTAGGGTTGCAACCAAGCTCGTTCTCACTTGCAAGGTGCTAATTGTGAGATATTGATGCAGCAAGGAAGTGCTAAAAGTAAGTAATTATCAAAAGAAGACACCAATCCGGAGAGACTATGTAAAAAAAAAAAAAAAAAAAAAAAAAAAAGTGCGGAGAAAGTTTACTTTTTTTCTATGTACTGTAAACGATGTAAAGATAATCCGGTTGCTAGCACAAGAAATTCAGTACATGGAATTTTCAAAGCATTTCAGATGGAATATATCCTGCAAGATTACATTCGTCTAACTGCACAAATGGAGCAATCTGCAAGCCTAATGAACATATTTGATTGAAAACGTGAAATATGTTGGACAAGTTGAAGATTAAAGATAAAAATTGTAATACAATTATAAATCATGATTACAATCATTTTAATGCTTAAAATACCCACTTATAATTTTTTGCAGGGACACATGACATTATGAAGAGCTCTGCAGGAAATCAAAATAAGCTCAAGCACCACTAACCATATCGAAAAATTCTTGGACTTGTTATTTTGAGGTGTGGCAAGACTCCCAGATGATTGAGTACAACACATCGGTAACCTTGGGAACATGCCAGAGATACCAGAGAGCGAACATAAGTACTCTCACTGCTGTTGGCTATACCTGGACACACAGCAATGGTGTAATCCTCTGCAATATAACAAGAGGTAAAAGTATAGTATAGTACTGTAGATGTAAGGTTTTTATTTGTTTTATAGTCTAAAAATGGCAAAGGAAGAGGCCTATTATAATAGTAACACATACAAATTTGAAATAATTTTTGTCTCTTGATAAAATTTAAAATGTTTTCATATTTTTAAACATAAACAATTATTATTTGTTCATAAAATAAATTTAAAATTCCTTATATTTCATTACCATCATTACCTAATTTAACCTATTTTGGGGGTAGGGATGCAGTTACCTAGAGAAGACAAGAGCATTATAGAAAAGTTGGTTAAAGCTATTTAAATGACAGCCATCAATTCACTATACCTTCTTTAGTGTATTCAACTATCACACTTGCACACCATATCTACCCATCATCTAGCCATTACTCTTTCTCCTACCCTTAAAATCACTCATTTATTCAGCTGATCAAAACATCTTTGTTCCAGCTTCTCAGTCTTTTCTCGATGCCATCACTACTTGCAGCATATATCCTAGCACTGTATGTTATATTCAGATATTCCATAAAGGAAACAATTTTCGCCTTTGTTGTTTTAGATTCAGAACAAGAAGTCCCAAGCAGCACCCGCCGCACTTACCTGGCACAGGAGATGTAATTTTCAGCTAGGTTAATGCTTAAATGAGCCCACGCATCTGGCCTTAACCCACCCTTGTTGATTTCAACATGTGTAACAAACATTCAACTGTTACAGTGACATCAACTGTATATCACAGGATTGAAAGCAGTAACTCCACCACCACCCATAACTAGCCAATAGCATTAAATGATCTTGGGCATCAGCTATAGAGCTGGACCTCACATTGTGACTCATACAACTCCTAGCTTCAACTCTCTGGTTTATGTCTTTAATCCTCAAAACAGTTCCCATTCATGGGGTTTATAATGGGCTTGTGGACGACCTCTAATTTTCCGCTGACTGGCATGAGCTGCAAGTTCGATATGTGATACATTCAGTCTTGCACAGATGGTACATACTGTTCACCATCGTATGGAATCACTCGCTCCAGGTGAAAGTGGCTCCATTTTTCTCTGATCCAGATCCTATTGTATATAACGAAAAATTTCTTGTTTCCAAATGACCGGTTTGGCTCTGTTCCCTCTACTATACCCGGTTTTAAGTTGGCCAAATCTGATCTCATGACTAAAACCCAGTGAAGAACAAATGCATTTCAAGACAAATTTCGTGTACTGTGCACACAATACTTACCATTAAACTGGGAGGGTCCAGTAGGGTCATACACATCCCAGGTGACAGTGGCCCCATCCTCCTGTCGAGCAGCAATGCGTCTTGGCACTACATTGGGACAGTATGTCCGCCCTACTGTGGCATGCACAATTGTCTGCAGGTGTCCGCTGCAGCCCCATAATCTCACTGGAACATACCTGACAAATAGGAAATGTAGATGTTTATCTCTCAGAATGTTTGGTAATATGTTTATTGTTTGTGATGTGTTTATATGTATGTATTAACACGATGTACTGAACGGGGTGAGAATAGCTTAAGCTACCTCATCCCTTTGTGTGTATTTTACCTCAATAAACTTATTTCAATTTCAATACCTGACAAAACAAATTTTTTGTTGGTGTACTATACCTTGGAATAAAAAAAAATTGTGTTTGGATTTACCTGAGGGTAATCGTCTTATTTTTACGTATCAGTTAATACGGAGAAGGAAGGTCTAGCTCTACATGCCTCGCTTACTGGCCTTGTTGTTCCCGTTACATTACAATTTAACTATCTTCATGATCAAAATTTTTGTTGGACCTGGCCTTAAAGATGTGGCTTCCACAGCTTCTTTTTTCCTTACATTTATTTTACCCACGTGCATTTCCAGTTTCCACTGATGTCTTAGTAGCATTATTTTTCAGCTTCTAGAGTGTCTGTCAACCTTATCTATTACCCCTTAGTTTATCAAATAATAAACACGTGTTACCCTCATTATAACTCCCTCCCTCCCCTTTGCCTATCACACGAATGTGCTTTGTTGTTGCTGTTTTAGATTCAGCTACTTGGAACAAAAGTTCCAAGCAGCACTATTTACTATTTGTCTCTGCAGAATCGAGCTATTAGCTCTCGGACCCCGCCTTTCTAACCAATCTATTTTTCCTCTATATCTAGTACATAGATACTAGATATAGTATCATGGGCTAGGTGAGCTATGGAGAGCCCGTAGCACTGATATCTCGCGCAGACGAGCGCCGATATCTCGCGCAGACGAGCGCCGATATCTCGTGCAGACGAGCGCCGATATCTCGCGCAGACGAGCGCCGATATCTCGCGCAGACGAGCGCCGATATCTCGCGCAGACGAGCGCCGATATCTCGCGCAGACGAGCGCCGATATCTCGCGCAGACGAGCGAGGGACAGTATTCACGTGCCGATATATGAGCGTGACAGGAATTACAACTTCTTGTACTGTACATCAGTCACACCACCCTAACGCCACAATGTACTTATAGGCACTTAATGTTCCCTCTCCACCCTGGTCATCATTCCTCGCTACACCTCCATCCCCTACCCCTACCCTCAACCCCTACCCTCCATACCCACCCCCAGATACCTGAGTACCCCCCCCCTTCCTTACCCAAGTATTTGCACCCTGATTAACCATCCTCTGAAATTGGGATATAATTAATAATGCATTGTGTCGGGGGACAGGCAGCCAGTTTATACATACAGTACCTGTTAGGCTTACATCGAGGGTCCCACCTCCCCCCATCCAGGTCAAATTACTGACCCCCTCCCCCCTCCAGGGTCAAATTACAGCCCCCCCCCCTCCCGCTTAGGATGTAACTCCACAAGCTGACTAACTCCTGGGGTACCGATTAATACTACGCAAACAGGGCATTACGCGATAGGAAACGCGCCCAAACATTTCTATCCCGCTGTTACGACCCTGGGTTCTCCAGTGGAAACCAGAGGTCAAAATTGAGCTATTAAACTTTCTAGTAGTACAGTTCAGTGCATCTCGAACGGCAATTGTTTGTATCTTCCCTGCCAGACGTAAGACTATTATTGTTTCTCAAAGAGCATTTAAAGACTGAGCTGGGGGTTGATTATTAAATAATAACATAGGCACCAACTTTGCTTACTAATACTTTCTAATCATTCATAAAGTAACAATACGTTGCATAGGGGAAGATCTTTAATGTGCTTAGCTGCACGATCAATTAGGCTCCTTCCGGCACCACGACATGAGGGAGGCCAGCTGGTCGCTAGGAGCTGCCTCTTCTCTGGCTGGTGTTCGTGCGGACGAGACCTACTCTGTGGCTGCACCCCTACTCTTCTCCCTTCTCCTCTTACTTATTTCCCTTACCTGAAGTTCCTGTATCCTTAAGTTAAGTACGGGGCATTATTAAGTGTACCTACTCTGGAAGTAACGATTGGTGAGACCTGGGGGTAGTATTTGCCAGTGTTTTGGGTACCCCTAAGTGTTGTGTTTTGTATTAGGGTCCCACGTGGTTTCCCTACCCTAAGCTGCATCCAGCTTCAGTGCTTATCCAGTAGTACTTTACCCTAGCTTGTTATTAGTGTAAACCTTGTATCCTGCCTAAGTGGACCAAGGCTTTTAACGTAAGATAGTGTGGTAAAGTTATTATTATTGTTGTTATTGGTGTGAGTGTATATGGGGGGTTGTTAAGGGGTTAATAAATAAGTACATGAATTACAGAGTATCTCTTCTTCCAGTGTGGGAGCGCATTGATCAACCCTTAGACTAACATATATGGTCTAGTAGCAAGTTATTACTACTGTGGATAGTTTATTTTGGGGGCCGGGCCTTTTAGCTCTCCCATATTTGATACTCTGTCTTCTAACTACCCTTACCCCTTAATAGTACCAGTACCCCATAGAGCCCCACACATATATATTTATAACACCCGCCTGGGACTCGAATCTGGAACTCGACTGTGAATCGAGAACAAACCCGACTATTCTGGAGTATATTTAGCATCACATGGTTAGCTCTTAACACACACAGAACTAACCCGTCATATAATCTATAGTCTAGGGGTAGCCGCATAAATACAAATCTACCGAAATAGGTTAACACAACAAATGCACCCACCGACCTAGTGCTTCTCTCTCTCCAAAATCGATCGCAGTCTCCGCGGGGGACCAAGGTCACCTCGGCCACACAGAGGTAAATGATCAGCACATGTTGCCTCCCTCCTCCTCCTCTCTCTTCTCCCTCCTTCCCCCTCTCTTCTCCCTCCTTCCCTCCCCTCTCTCTCTCTCTCTCACCCCCTACCTCCCTCAATGTCACGCACGTGCGTTAGTGGTGCGAGATGAAAACCTCACACTTGTGAAGTCGTCCCTAAGGTCATATCCAGGATTAGTGTTATATATATATATATATATATATATATATATATATATATATATATATATATATATATATATATATATATATATATATATATATATATATATATATATATATATATATATATATATATATATGTATATATATATATATATATATATATATATATATATATATATATATATATATATATATATATATATATATATAATTTGTGTACATGTATATATGTACATAAGAAATGAATTTAAAATCTCTCCAACTGCTCATATTATTAAGCTTCGTGGGAGGAAGAATTAAGGAAACACCGCTGACGTGTCGCCCCCCCCACCTAACAGTAACAATATCATGCATACCAACTCCATTTTTGATATATCGATAATTTTCCAGTGCCTTATGTAAGTACACCCTGGGACATAACTCCTCCATGAGATCATAACACAGACTAAAAGGTAGCGGGAACGATTTATGTCGGTCTCTCATTGTCGATGTCGGCTGGGAACAAGTACAAGTGGCGCCATGGTCAGTCGTCGATGGAGCTTTGATCTGACTACACTAAATCATGCACGATCTGTACGACCGTTGCTGTTTGCTTGGTTACTAGGGTTATAAGCAAGAAATATGCCCACAAACCTTGCATAACAAGTGCATTTAATACATCAAGGGCAGAATGCTGCTTTTTAGAAAGTACTTAGAGGCCCATTACTTTTACAAATACTCAAAAGCAGCAAACTTTGATAAAAGTCAAACGTGTATGAATACAATCTGGCTTCCTGTCTCTCGACACAGTCAATTATTATTAGTAGTTACATAAATAATATGATTTGCAAATGCTTGTGCTGTCACAACATTCAGTGTAAGATGGATAGGAAGACAATTGTCATGTTATCTAGTTGTTTTCAGTTCACACGAGATTTTGCAAAATCTCTCGAGATATCCTAATGGGTTGAAATAAAAACCAATGACCAATCAGGGTACAGCAACTGTGTGCTTCAGCCAATTAGACCATTTCTAGAAAGAGAGCTTAGCAAGAGAGCTAGTTGGTATGGACACAAAACATAAAAGAGGTATGAACAGTGATACAGAATGGATGAAATAGATCTATGGGAAATAGTTTGTGTAGTGGAGCAAGTACACGCTGCCATCTGGCTACACACCTGGTGATGGCGCGCGGGCTGCAGCTAGCCCATGGCGCGCAGGTATGACACACACGATGATTACGGCATCTTCAAGTGTTCAGTCACACAGTTACTGAGCACTGGTGAGCTATAGTTAGCCTTGCATGTGGGGCACAGCAACCCACGCCACCACTACCAAATTAATACGATCACATTACAGCAGATTGACGAAGAAAAGGACCCTCGCGTCAAAATCCACCACTCACTAAAAGCTGCACAACAGGTAGAAGCAGTCAGAAAAGCTAACCAAACCATTGGAATAATCAAGTGTACCATTTGGATTACTGTATCCCAGCATGGAGACCTCATTTTCAGGCCATAGTTGCTCTGGAGAAAGTGCAACACCGGGCAACAAATGTCATTCCAGAGTTAAGTCATCTCTCGCACCAGGAACGGTTGATGGCCACAGGGCTAACACTGCACACCAGGTGATGACCAAACCACACAACAGAAGATGAAGAGACGACGACTTTTCGGTCCATCCTGAACCATTATCAAGTCGAATGCAAGCCAGGCATGACAGGGCGGATCTCACTGAAACGTTTAAAATACGGAACAAGTTGGAGAATGGTGATCCAGACAATTTCTTCAAACGGTCGAGCATCAGAAATATTACAGGAATAACCGTGGACATCTTCAAGAGAAAACTAGATTGTTTGCTTCAAGGAGTGCCGGACCAACCGGGCTGTGATGGGTATGTGGGCCTGCGGGCACCAAGCAATAGCCTGGTGAACCAAACTCTCAAGTCAAATCTGACCCCGGGCCGGGCTTGGGGAGTAGAAGAACTCCCAGAACCCCATCAACCAGGTATCAACCAGGTCAGATGTAACTCAAACAAGGAGCAATGGTTTCAGACTCAAGAAGCTTCAATGTAAGACAG